AAGTTTAAATTTTGAGAGTTACTAAAATAATAGACACGAAACGTTTTTTTAAAAAAGACAAATAAAGAAAACACTTTAAAATCCAAGACAAGGCAGAAAAAACAAAAACAAAGTTATCAGTAGGTGGGTATGTATGAATATTTATATTTATATTAAATATATAGAGAACATGTTATATATAGCATATATTTTATAGAAACATTTATATAACAAATATATTGTATATATAAATATCACATATTTATAGAAAATTTTTATAGAAATATATTCAAATAAAACATCAGATCATTATAGTATGTATTACATATAAATTTATGTGTATACAGTATACATATACAGACTAGCACGGGAAATATACACACACATTTCTAGGTAGTGATGACTTCCGATGAGGGAGAGAAATGGAATAGCGTAGGATTTGGAAGAGACAAAGTGGCTGTTTTAGGTTTCTTTCTTTTTCTTTTTATTCTTTCTTTTCTTTTGCGACAAGGTCTCACTCTGTCACCCAGGCTGGGGTGCACTGACATAGATCATAACTCACTATAACCTTAAACTCCTGGGCTCAAGCGATCCTCCCACTTCAGCTTCCCTAGTAGCTGGGGCTATAGGCACATGCCACTATGCCCAGCCAATTTTTTGAAACGTATTGTTAGTAGAGATGAGGTCTGACTGTTGCCCAGGCTGGTCTCAAACCCCTGGGCTCAAGCAATCCTCCTGCCTTGACCTCCCAAAGTGCTGAGATTATAGGTGAGCCAATATGCCTGGCCTATTTTAGATTTCTATGACACTTTATTTGTTTAATAAATACATGAGGGAAATACAACAAAATCTTACTGTATCATTTAAAAACAAAAAACAAAAAAACTCTGAATCTGAGGTACCTGGGTTTGAAGCAACTTTCTGCTTATTTGAAATATTATTTTCAGTATCCAGTGGACTCTTGATTTTTCAGCTTACCTTTTTCATTTTTACCTCTTTGCCACTTATGTATTTCTTTGTGCAACACTTCAAGTATTTACTTTCCTCCTCATTTTCATCATTTTTATCTGTCCTTGCTTTCTATATACTTTTTTTTTCCTTTAGCCAACACACAATTCTGACCACAGCTACTCCTAACACTGCTGTCATTTTCCATCCACCACTTCTCCAAATACAGCAAGGAAAAACACGAACTCCACTGGACAAGGCATTCTGTTAGGTTAGAAGCCATTGCACACAGTCATTGAATATTTATACTCATGCATTCAAATTTTCTGGAATACATAGTTGTTTAAAAAAGGGATTCTCTTTAGTCTTTATACATCCAGGGAGCAGAAGCTACACCTCATGTTTATGGATCTAATTAAAAAGCCCGCTAAACAGCCTAACTGAGAATAAATTTCTTCAACTGTAAAATAGGGATGATCTTTACCATGCAGAGTTGTTTTGAATATTCAAATAACATGTGCAAGTCACTATGCATGTGATTGACACATTCAGAGATGAGAGAGGATAAATAGAAGTATGGATTTTGTCCTTAGTAAACAATAGGATACTAAGGATATAGTAGGCATACTATATTTGTTCTCTATATCATCCATTGCTCAGAAACAGTCCTGGATATTCTGAAACAGCTATGATTTCAAGAAAGCTTTACAAGTAGATTTTAAAAATCCCAAAGAAATCACAGTTAAACTGAAGAGTACTTAAGTCAAAGAGAATATGCAAATATTCTCCTCTCTGAAACACCGCAATCAGACATACAATAGACTTTTAAGCAACAAGAAAGTCCAGAAGAAAATTGTAAACAACAACAACAAAAGATATATTGAGGAACAACCCTAACAATTCTACTAAATGATAAAAGACCATCCCTATGGAACTCCACTAGGTCAGAAGCTGTGGCAACTTAGCTTTTCTACATTAATTCTATGAGATGCCTGGGAGTTGGGCACATTACACATCACAAAACTGATCTGATCCAAGGTTCAGAACACATTTTTCTATGAAACACAAGTGAAGCAACTGAATGCTTTATTAAAAGATGATTGGATAAACAAAATTAGAAAAACTATGCATTTGTCTGCTTTACTTACTGTAGTGTTTAAAACACTGGTTCAGCAAGGGATAGGATAAGCATGAAGCTTCCTCCAAGCAACGTAGGTCCTGAGTATCTGCATTACTAAGTTGACATTCCGTATTGCTGAAGCATCTTATCAATAAGCAGCCCAAATAAAAGGAATTATCAAGGAATGACTTGTGATGGAATTAATTATTGTCTTTCAGGAATTAAGAGTCTTTTGATAAACTGAGTCAAGAAATGTGAATAATTAAGTGGTGAAGAGTGCAAAAAGGATGAGCACACTGTAAAAATTAAACCCAATCATGTTTCAAAAGTTTAATATCATTTTTTATAAAATTAAACTTGCAGTATTGAATACATGAGTTTGTTTCTTTGAACCTAAATGACTTTGTACACTTAAATAATTATAAATTGCATGCCAGAAATTGCAATTAGGTTGATGCTGATTTTATGTACAATGTAATTCAAACATAAATTCTGAAGAATGTAAGAACTAATAGAATGTAAGCCAGTTTTCCCATGACCCCAGTCTTCCTCCAATAGAAATACTGTATTATGAGCCCATTTTGTCCAGACAAAAAGGCTCTTTTCATAATACTTTAAGCCATATGTAGATAAATTTAAAACAGCATAAGAAGAATCTTTCAGAAATAATTAATGATAAAATATCCTTATTTTTCATTTTGTATATATTTACAAGTGTATTCACATATTTCTGAAAAGAATAAATATTTAAGTTGAAGATAAGCATTATCAAAATAATTATATTTCTTTTATTTACACCATTTTGATAAATAGAATGAAATATCTTACTATAACAGGACCTATACCATGAAAATGCTAATAAATAAAGTCTAGTCTCCACCTGTTTACACGTAGAGTTATTCAGTTCAATGATCATATTAGGTTTTCCTTTCCAATAGCCATCACATTGGTGAGCTGAAAATTATCTAGGCTTAAATTGACTTTTACTTTCTTTGATGTGAGCTCTTACAACTTTCAGAAATGGAAATAACAGAGGCTAAGTTTTCATTCATTCAGTAAAATGCATAACTTTTCATTGCTGAAAGACATATCACGAACATATTGAACAAATGTTACATGAAATAACTTTGGTAAGAAGTACTTCAGGCTGAAATATATGAAGCTGAGATGATTTTGCTTAGAATGATGTGTCAAAAAGTCACCAAAAGGAGAAGAAAAGCAATTCTTTATTTTTATCCAAATATATCAGACTTCATAATTTAGTTTCAACAAAAACTTCACCATGTATCATCCAAACCAAGACATTATAAGAGTGAAAGGGAGTGCTACAAATAATTACACAGGTACAACAGGTATAAACTGGAATTTTCCTGGGTAAACTGGGACCTATCATCAACCTAGAAATAAAAGTTAAACTGCAATTACATGCAGAAATCATACCTTTCCCACACACGTGTGGAAAAGATAAAAGAATAGCATTCACTCAGATAAAGTAATTTCAACAACAGTAGTTCTTTCTCACCAATCAGATAGAGTTCTGTTCACATATTATCCCCATCCTGAGCCAGTCACATTTTCTAAATTAATCAGTTCTTACTCCACACAGTCACTTTGCATTACGTTACCCTGTTTTCACTCTTTTTTTTTCTTTTCTTTTTTTTTTTTTTTTTTTTTTTTTTTTTTTTTTTTTTTTTTTTTTTTTTTAGATGTTGTGATGGACTCTTGCTCTGTCACCCAGGCTGAGTGCAGTGGTGCAATCTCAGCTCACTGCAACCTCCGCTTCCCAGGTTCAAGCGATTCTCCTGCCTCAGCTTCTCCAGTAGCTGGGGTTATAAGCACCTGTCACCACACCCAGCTAATTTTTGTATTTTTAGTAAAGACAGGGATTCGCCATGTTGTTCAGGCTGGTCTCAGATTCTTGACCTCAGGGATCCACCCACCTCAGTCTCCCAAAGCACTGGGATTACAGGCGTGAGCCACGGTGCCTGGCCTGTGTTCATTCTCTTAACTGATATTTTGACTGTCTGAAGTGGTCTTGTTTTTGTCTCCTCCCCACTCTCCTTCTGATATACAGTGTTCATGGTGAGCAATGACCTCCTCTGACTTAGTTATGTCCAAATCCCCAGGAACTAAAAATGCCTATGATATAGAAGGCATACAAAAAATTTTTTTTGAATGTGTGAATATACTTGGAGAGTTTGTTTTTGGTTCCATCTTCTCCTTGGGACCAAAGACAAATTAAAATGACTCTCCAAAGTAAATTATGGCTCTATTTAGTTTTAAGTTCTTGGACTAAATGATCCGTGCACTTTTTTCCACTGCTGATAAATACATCATGCCCTGTGGACCCCTTTCTTTCTCTGTCACTATTTTGTTCCCTACATCCACCAAATCAGAAAGCTTGGTTATTAATGGGTATAGGGCAATTTGCTCCATTCACAGTGGATGCACACTGAAGATTGATCATTTTGCCAGTAACAATTCCCTGGTATATATTTGCACCTACAGAATTTGGTTGATACAGAGGTAGCCAGAAGGTATTATTATAGTCAATGAAGTGTTGATGAATAATTTGCCAATAATAAAATTATCACAAGATTGTTAAAAAATAGGAAATAATAAGAGCCCAAACTAGCAATTAACGACTTACATATTAATGAGAATTTTTTTTTAATTTGGGGCAGACTTAAATTACAATTCTTACAGAAGTTTCATAGGAAAACCCGTGATATTCTGTTAAGGAGCACTTTTAAATTTTCATAAAAGTCTCTGCATTCCAAATTTTTATTCTGAAAGTGTTCTACTGATCACTAGTTTTGATTCCTGATAGTGAGTCATAAATATCAGACTTTGGGATCAGACAAACAGTACTGTTAAAATTATTTGGGTAGACCAGGGATCCAAGACAACAATAAAATCAGTGTGTTCACCAAAAAACTGTGTCTAAGATATCTTCAATTTATCTAATTTTAATCTCTTTCAGGTCTGTGCAAAAACTTCCTCCAGAATGATAAGTGACAGGCATGGGATAGGTTCCCTAGGTGAGGAAAAAGTCTATCCTGTTACAACAAATGTCATAAACAAGAAAACAGAATAAAAAGGAGACTCAATTAGACATACATATTTTAAGCATAAATATTTATCATCTGTTTCATTGCATTGTCATGTCTTCTTAAAATGATTGGTTTTTTAAATGAAGGTAATTTCTGGAAAAAAGAATGAAAATGTTTCCAATTGACTTAGTTTGAAACAGGGACCATTAATGTGTAACTTCACACAGATTCTGATATATTCAATATAACTTGACTACTGTCTATTAACAATGATTCAGCGTTTGTTCAGAGCTCATCTTTGTATTAGATCTTATACAAAACAGATTTCCAGATTTTAATTAGTCTAGGAAAAGAATAATTCTCAAATTAATCAACAATTATTTCTCCCCAGTACTAGCAACTTTTAAAAATCATAAGAAATGTTCAATGCTATACTAGTACTGGTATGCTCTAAAATTTACAATTAAACATGTAATGGTTATATTTTTGCAGGGCCATAAATAGCACAAACTTGTGTGATTCTCTCATATAAAATACAATTGAAAGCCTCCCAGGACCTTAAACAGCAGAAAACATTAAATCAGATTTTAAAATGACAAAAATTTAAGGCTAAAATATTTGGTATTAATAATTAATGCCAGTAGCCTTCCTACTCTAATAAAGTAAACATGCACAAGAACTACAACTTTGAACAAAACATCACAATTTTATCAGATATATATGTATGTATGTATGTGTATGTATATATATATATATATATATATATATGTATATGTGTGTATACATACACACACACACAGACATATATTTAGTTTTATCGCCCTGAAAGCTATTCACTCATGTTTGGCTTAATACATATGTTAGAAATGTTGGGGAGAGTTTCTCCCCTTTAAATATATATATATATATTTTTTTTTTCGGAATATACAATATAAATATGCCATATATAAATCATGCCATAAAACTAAATGCAAAATTTGCACATTATTGCATGCTTGATGTGATAATACATGCCCATAAATAACTTCCTTATTATGTCCTCCCTTCATAACTGTGGCCTTCTGCACATTAGCAATACTTGGGAAAGGAAGGGTTCTCAAATATGCTTGTAGAACTGGGAGGAAAATATACTTTCAGATTCCTTAGGGAGAGTTACCTCATTGCCAAATATTGGACTATTACTAAATCAAACATTAAATAATTTCTAAGGGAGTGCTTTGTTATGTGAAGCGATCAGAGTTCATTTTTCTTAATTTGGCTGGAAGGTTCCCTTCCATCCTAGCTGCTCCTCCAGCCATCTTTTGAAGCTTTGGTGGCAAATCAGCCACAGACTGGCTCATGGGATCTGATAACATCTTTGTGGTTTTAGATACCAGTTTTTCTTCTGAATTGCCTGGAACTGAACTTATTCGTTGAAGTTTCATGGGCAAGTCTCCCAAGCTGTAGGCTTTTTCTGAAGTTGTAGAACTCATCCTCAAGAGTTTTTTGGGAAAGTCTTCTCTTCCAGTAATTTTCTGCAGCTTAGATGGTAGTTTTGTAGTAATGTCATCTAGTCCATCTAAGCATTCCACAGAATTATGTCTTTCTTTGCTATTAGTTATGGCTGGTGCTATTAAAGGGGACGACATGAGAAGCATTTCCTCCTGCTCTTTCACACTGTAAGGTGGGGTGGGAACTTCAAATGTTGCATGGAACTGAGAGTAATCAACTTTAAAGAATCCCTCTTCTAAGGAAATTACAGGAAAAAAACGATGACCCCAAAGAACTTCATCTTCAGTATATGATGTTCGAGCTTGACAAGTCATCCCTACAAAAAAAGGAGAAAATTCTTGATAAATTATGCATAGTGGAAGCACATATAAAGCCGGTTTGACCTAAATAATTCATTTCACTTTCTTATCTAGGTTTTGTACTGTTTATCTGAAGACTGAATAATAAACTGCATAGATTAAAAGTTGTACTATAAGTTAATAGTTTTGATACATATACTTTCTTTTGCCAAAAAACACAGGGTGCTGATACTATTCATGTTTGAATGATCATGTATCATTATGTAAATATTAACCACAAACCAAAAGCAAAAGTTGCATAGAATAATTTCAGAACATATGTGTCCCTGTAAGGAAATAAATGGAAAAATCATATAACAATTTTTCAGCATTTAATAAGCAGTGTCATAAATGAAACAAATCTGACTTTGAATCTAAACTTTCATACTGTGTAAATACAAAAATTAACTCAAGATGGATTGAAGATTTAAACATAAGACCAAACATCATAGAAACCCTAGAAAAAAACCTAGGCAATACCATTCAGGACCATAGGCATGGGCAAGGACTTCATGACAAAAACACCAAAAGCAATGGCAACATAAGCCAAAATAGACAAATGGAATCTAATTAAAGAGCTTCTGCACAGAAAAAGAAACTATCATTAGAGTATCATTCTATCAGCAATTGACAGAATGGGAAAAAAATTTTGTAATCTACCCATCTGAAAAGGGGATAATATCTAGAATCTACAAAGAAGTAAAACAAATTTACAAGAAAAAACAAAACAAAACAAACAACCCCATCAAAAAGTGGGCAAAGGATATGAACAGACACTTTTCAAAAGAAAACATTTATGCAGCCAACAAACAAATGAAAAAAAGCTCATCATCACTGGTCATTAGAGAAATGCAAATCAAAACCGTATTGAGATACCATCTCATGCCAGTAAGAATAGCGATCATTAAAAAATCAGGAGACAACAGATGCTGGAGAGGATGTGGAGAAATAGGAACACTTTTACACTGTTGGCGGGAGTGTAAATTAGTTCACCATTGTGGAAGACAGTGTGGCGATTCCTCAAGGATCTAGAACCAGAAATACCATTTGACCCAGCAATCCCATTACCAGGTATATACCCAAAGGATTATAAATCATTCTATTATAAAGAAACATGCACACGTATGTTTATTATGACACTGTTCACAATAGCACAGACTTGGAACCAACCCAAATGCCCATCCAGGATAGACTGGACAGGGAAAATGTGGCACATGTACACCACAGAATACTATGCAGCCAAAGAAAAAGAATGAGTTTATGTCCTTTGCAGGGCCATAGATAAAGCAGGAAACCATCATTCTCAGCAAACTTACACAAGAACACAAACACCACATGTTCTCACTCATAAGTGGCTGTGAAACAATGAGAATGCATGGACACAGGGAGGGGAACATCACACACCAGGGCCTGCTGGGGGGTGAGGGGCTGGGGGAGGGATAACAGGGGGTGGGGCTTAGGGAAGGTATAGCATTAGGAGAAATATCTAATGTAGATGACTTAACCAACATTGCACATGTATACCTACAAAACAAACCTGCACATTCTGCACATGTATCCCTGAACTTAAAGTATATTTAAACAGATACAAAGAAAAATATATGTAACTGAGTATCACTATTTTCTTCTGCAGAGTAAAGCACCGTCAACACCTGTCTTACAACATTGCTGTGAGCATAACACACAGAAATGTAAAATGTGTCATATAACGTCTATAAATAGGTGACTCAGTTAATGAGAGCTTACTTTTTTTCTCTTCACTTAGCAGAGGCTTGCTATGGGAGTTAGGAGGACAAAGGGTAAATTTTCCAAGTATTTGCTAAACAAATAAAAAGTGATAACATTTATATGTGCTAGAAAAATAAAGTCATTGTGGTGGTTCTATCATTTTGGACCTATAAGGCCAGAATAAACTTTTGCTCAAGTTTCAGAAATCTATATGCTAAAATCAGTGATCTAGTCCATATGACATAGCAAGTTCCATGCCTGCTCTAGGAATATCTGGAAATGGATGCTGGCTGTCAGATGTAAATTTTTTCCGTTTATCAATTATGTCCCTTGGATAGCATTTGCCTCATGGTATTCTAATGTATTCAATTTTGTTCTCTTCATAAATCATTTATTTAGATTTAGTTACAATCAAATCAGTCAACTTGTGAATATTCATTTTGTGAAGACTGGAAGTACTAGAATAAATTAAAACCATATATCACGTTTCTGTCTTATATATTACAATTTTCTAAGTAGTGAAATTCAGCAATTTCTCTATTTTAATAGAAATCTGTCAAGCTTCTATTAAAGGCTACTAAAATGTAAGATGATGATGAATTTTTAAAGATCACTCCTTCAATAATTAAGTATAATTTAAACAAGTGATGATAATTTGTCCTCATTCATTTCCATTCTCTCCCATCTAAGTAATTTCCATTGTTTTTAAGCCTGGCATAGTTTGAAGGAGGGGAATAGTCTGTCTTTTTTCTAACTGACTAGTAATCAGACATACAATACATATAGATAATTAGGATATAATGTATAATTAAGAAGCCACATTTGAATCCTTCCAAAATCTTGCCTTGAGTATTCTGTTATATATTACCAAATAATTAGTGGTTATCACTACATACTATTTTTTAAGACAGTTTCAAAATAAATTCATGTAGTAAATTAGTATTTATCATGTGGCTGGCACTGTGTTAGGTGCTCTCTCATCTTCTCTTTTTTTTCCTTCTAATCCTCAATATGGTTCTGTTAAGAAGATATTATTATATCTATTTTAAAGATGAGAAATTTAGTACTCAGAGAGGTTAAGTCTCTTGACCTTTCTTGAGCACAGATTTAATAAGCTGCAGAGAAAAAAATGTATCATCCTATTTCTGTGTGGGTTTTTTAAAAATTGTTGTTGATATTTTACTTTGCCATGATGCCCCTAATATTTTAGTTAGAAATCCAGTTATCAGTTAAACTCTAATGGTGCAAATCTGACCATGATCAAATATCCGTGTTTATAAGCAATGTAATGTGAAGAATAGCCCCCAGAAACATATGTAAGATAATAAAATTAGTTTAAAAATATTTAGTGTAAACACACACATAGCAGCATTCTGGATTTTTCTAATAACTTTCTAGCCTCTAAGCACTTCATAAGAAAAACCGTAGATTATCACTTAATCAGGAAAAATAAAAGATGTATTTCCTGATATATTTACTTGGTTTTCTTTTGGGGGAGAAATTTAAAGATAAAAAAAATCTAGAATAAAGAATAAATATCTGATGTTATTCATTAAGATATGAAATAATAAAACAATGTGGAAGTAACTTATATTTTCTCTCTAAAAGCAACCACTGTCATTCTAAGTGTCTTTCCAGTCCAAGACATTAATTTAAATTTAAGAAAAAAAGTCTATAAATATACTTTTACTGAATCATAATACTTCCTTATAACCTTTTTTATTTTTATGTGTTTTGAGATGAGGTCTCACTCTGTCATCCAGGCTGGAGTGCTGTGGCACGATCTTGGTTCATTGCAGCCTTAACCTCCCCGGGATCAGGCGATCCTCCCATCTCTGCCTCCCGGGTAGCTGTAACTTTTGTAACAAGGCTTTGCCATGTTGCTCAGGCTGGTCTTAAACGCCTGAGCTTACGTGATCTGTCTGCCTCAGCCTCCCAAAGTGCTAGGATTACACACGTGAGCCACCGCACGCGGCCACATTTTTAATTTTAAAAACTTCAACCATTGAAAATTGATGTCAGGCAGAATTACACTAAGTGAGGTAACATATTCAATATAATACAGTGTTTTAAAATATAAGAAAAGTTTGTATGTTTGTCCTTTGATTAATATAAACACATATATATATCGAGTAAAAGTAAATTCAGATTATTCAGTCTGTTCAATTATTTCTAACAATCACAAGTAAATTTTGAAATAAAATTTGACAATATCACCATCCTACCCCATTTCATTTTGGTGGCCTTTTTTTACATTGAGAAAATAACATTAAATTAAAAATAAAAATTTTGTCCCTGCTTTTACCGTTACAACATACCACATTTCAGATGCCCTTGAGTTGTTTCCTATACGATTATCAGAAGCCATGGAAAGGAGCTACAGACACTTACATGGAGGAAAAAATTGGGAAAATAAAATCTTAGAAAATTTTAACATTGGGAAAACATGCCATCAATTATTAAAGTACTTAAAGCGCTATGACATCTACAGTGGAAATATTTCTTGGCATTAAAATACTTGTAATCATTGTTACTGAAATTCCAGTGCATGAGTTTGACTGAAAAAGAAGGTGGAGAATCTATTTTACTATATAAACTTTACTTATTTCCACAGCAAACTCACATAAATGAGGCAATCTGAAACATAATTTAAAAGTTTATGAATTTGGCTGTCACTGCCACTATTAAATAGCTTGTGAAAATTAACTAAAGCTCTCTTACCCTGTTTTCTCCTTTATAAACCAGAGAAAACAATATCTTCTCTTATAAACCTACTGAGAATTTGAAAGTAAAAGACAAAGAAACTTGCTTGGTGTTTAGGCAATGCTCATTCATGACTAGTGTTTTTATTGTTCTATAATAGTCACTTGCATTTCCTGTTTTTCCTGAAAATTAGTAAGGTGCCTTAATATGTGTGAGGAATTTTTACATATTTGTAATTTAACCATATTAGCAATATAGAACATTAAGAATTAAGTTTAAAAGTCACTGACTATGATGTATCAATTTTTTTTTTTTCAGGTGGGGTCTTGTTCTGCCACCCAGGCTGGAGTGCAGTGGTGGGATCAGAGCTCACTGCAGCTTCAAACCCCTGGGCTCAAGCAATCTTCTCGCCTCTTGTTCCCAAGCAGCTGGGACTACAGGCACAACACACCAAGTCTGACTAATTTTTAATTTTTTGTAGAGATGGGGTCTCATTATGTTGCCCAGGCTGCTCTCAAATTCCTGGCCTCAAGTGATCCTCCCACCT